AATTAAGCACAATTATAAACGCTTTTGCTTTGGAAGCCACTGGGAATTTTTTTTTTTCTCCTGGTTCTCAAAGTCATCTCTCTGGGCACTTGGTAATTGAATTCCTTGTCTAGGTACATCGAGGCTTAAAACATTATTACCTCATGTTCTTGCTTTACTAAACAAAAGTTGTGTATGCCTTTGCTTTGGAAGCCACTGGGAATTTTTTTTTTTCTCCAGGTTCTCAAAGTCATCTCTCTGGGCACTTGGTAATTGCATTCCTTGTCTAGGTACATCGAGGCTTAAAACATTATTACCTCATGTTCTTGCTTTACTAAACAAAAGTTGTGTATGTGTGCATGTGTGTGGCTTTATGATCATTTTCCTTCTTGGATAAATTGATTTGACCATTCAGAAAGGATTCTGCAGTTGTTTTTACGGGTCATAGGTAGGGTGCTCTATTTACCAATGATTTTCTTATGTAACTTTTGCTGATGCTATTAAGAGTTACAGAGAAATGTGTACTTTATTGCAGACAGCAGTGATATTAAGTAACTCTGCTGCTTCTCACCTGGTTATTTGTGGTAAATGGAAATCAAATGGCAAGTGTGAAATTCTAGAAAGTAAGGATCAGGAAATAATCTGTATTTTTCACATTGTCTCTTTATGGACAGGTTAATAATCCGAAGAGATCACTTACTAGAAGATGCTTTTAATCAGATTATGGGCTACTCCAGAAAAGATCTGCAGAGAAACAAGCTATATGTCACCTTCGTTGGGGAGGAAGGGTGAGTAGAACAGAGAAGTGCTCTGCTGCGGCCACAGGGCGGATGTTTCTCCACATCGCTGTGGTTGCCTAAAACAGGAAATCCTTCTGGCAGGAAACGCTGTTCTCATACGCTTAAACCTTTGGCTTTTTTTTTTTTAAATCTAAAAGCAAAGGTGTGAGCTTGAGAAAGAAGTCTTGCGGTAGAGCCAAATGAATTAACCTCGACCTTGAGAGGAATTAAATGTCTCTGAAGTAATTCTACAGCAAGTTACTGTGATTCCACTACTAATCATGTAAAACTTGGCAGGAGGTGGCAGTACTTGTCTTCAAAAGCCTCTGTCACCACAAAACATCACAAGCTTAACGGCTTGCCCCAAAGGACATATAAATCGACAACTGGACCCAGCCCATGACACTGTTGGCCTCTGACCACTATGCCCAGGGCTCCAGACACCCTTTTGTGGTTTTAAACAAAAACTTCTGGATCCTATGAAATGAATGTACTCTAAAGCTGTGGTCCCCAACCCCTGGTCCACAACCTGTTAGGAACTGAGGTGAGCAGGAGGTGAGCATCCAGCCAACAAGCGAAGCTTCACCTGTATTTACAGCCGCTCCCCATTATTCACATCACCGCCTGAGCTCCGCCTCCTGTCAGATCAGCAGCAGCATTAGATTCTCATAGGAGCGTGAGCCCTACCGTAAACTGCGCATGGAGGGATCTAGGTTGCGCATTCCTTATGAGTATATAATGCCTGACAATCTGAGGTGAGCAGAGGCAGTGGGGAGTGGCTCCAAATGTAATCAATGTAAGTAATGCTCTTGAATCATCCCGAAACCATCCCCCTCACCGCAGTCCATAGACAAACTGTCTCCCATAAAACTGGTCCCTGGTGCCAAAAAGGTTGGGGACCGCTGCTCTAAAGCACAGCCATGGAACACTGTCCATGGCCCATTAATTGAGAAATTATCTATTTTAAAATGTGAGTGCTGCTACTCCAGATTCAATCATAAGGGCTATGATTAAAGGTCTTGAGCACTCAGAACGAACAACATTTATCATTGCCTTCCTCTATGGCAGTTTAGTCCTATCTTCAAGATGCAGTAGTAACTTCATTTCTGAAAAGAAATGCAATGATTCATAACACTCCTCAAGGGAGTTTAATGCACCATTCAAATTCTAATTCTAATCTCCTAGGTACAGACATTGTTCACTCTCTGTCCAGAATATAACAATATAACAACCACGTAAGACCCACATATCTTTAAGTCTTTATTTACAGTTGTTACATAGCCTAAGCAGGATAAATGTAGAACCCAGAATCAGTCAACTTTGATTCCTCCCTCTCCTGTACATCCCATTTAACAATAAGCGAACAAGTTCTAGGTTTTCAATTCCCAACATAGCATTTCTCTCTATCCACAAAGCTCCTGTTCTTGTCCAGTCTTGGCTTCTACTAAGGGACAACTGCAATAGCTAAACTAAATGGTCTCCCTGTGTCCAATCTCTACTTTCACCCCCTCCCATCTCCCACACCCATCACACTTGCCTTGAAAGAAAACTTGTGTCCTCTCCAAGCTGCTGTTTCCCAACATGCAAAAAGGAAAGCCAATTATGAAATAATTTCCTAAACACTTATGAGAATGACAATGAATAAGTGAAATGTTCTTTATAAATTGACAGAACTGTATGAATCTTATGTAATAACGAGAGTAAAACAGTGGTACTAATTTTTTTTTTTAAGATATCATACAATACTACCTAATTCATTTTCACACCATCATCTCAAAACTTACAGTACCACCCCAATTTTGCCTAGGATAAAAACAAGGCCCCAAAAAAGTGATCTGCTAAAGATTTTAAAGTAAAAGGCCATGTAGTTGGATAACTGCCAAGCAGGTGTTTTGAAAAAATGAACTTTTCCTTATCAAAGCATACATTTCTTCTGGGAAAGTCTTTCTGATTGTTTTACTGATCCTTTTTAATGATCAGGTGATTCCCTTCCTCATCAATTCATAGAGAAAACTTTGGATATAGAATCCCCAGGTTCTCTAGAGGTTTTCTATACAGTGAACCTGCCTGGGCCCGGAGCCATGCCAGCACAGGGTGGGCATTCAGTAAATGTTGGCTGAATAAATAAATGAATGCCTTAAACTATCAGACGGCTATTTCTAGCCCCAGAAAATTAGACCGTACTTATTTCAGTAATTAATTCTAGACTTGGCACCTTTCAATATTAAAAACTCTTCTTCATATATAACAAAACATGAAGAGGAGGAGTTTTTAATATTAAACTAATAAAAGTAGTTATTAATCTTTAACAACTCCCTCCGCTGCAACTTAACCCCATGTTCAG